TTTTTTTTTCAAAAAAGGCTACTTCATATTACAATGGAAGGCATTATCGCTCTCTGGAATTGATATAGTGACAACAACATTGACAAGTATAAATAAGAACGATAGTAAACCAGCTCTAAATTTCTTTAGTATTGATAGTTTTAGAAACCAAATATCTTTTAGTAATACTTCATTAAAGCGACAGCATAGTTCGAGCAGTCATCAATAAAAACTACTATTGATCCCCTTGGCGCGAATAACTTCCATGAATATATGGAAGTTTGTTACTACCCCAAGTCATCAAGCACATACAGATTTATTTTTGTCCTGCATTTCATCCCTGACCCGAGTTTATTAGCGAATATGTCATACTTTTGCTTCTTTTCATGACATGTTCATTTATTGCTCTCAAAGATCCATTTAATGCAATTTCGGCTAATCGCTCAAAACGGAGACCATGACTGTTTGTAGTGTACTTTTGTACTTTTTCGGCCATAGATTTCATGGTATCTCCATCGGTTGAAACGATCTTGACATCATCCACGAACATTAGATGATTCGTTATGTGCATTCCATGATCGGTGGGAACCGCCATCATTTTTGAGTACCTCATATTAAGCCGACAGCTCAACGGGTCCGTGCACAGGAGGAGTAGCAGTGGAGAATGGATATCACCTTGAAAAACTCCACTTTGTATTTTCTTCTCCATTATAGTTTATCCATTGTTTTCAGTACGAATGCTCATCTGCATGCGATGCTTTTCAGAAACCTGTTGATTTGCCATGGCACGTTAGGCCTTTCAATTAAGTAGATACTCGAAATTAACTGAATTAAACGTTTTTTGATGTCATATATCACGTAATATATAGCTGATTTCCATGCTCTTCGCATACTGCCAATTTCAAAAGTAACCTGCTCTTTAGCAACTGGAACTAGGGCAACAGTTTCTAACTGCTTCTCTTCTAAAGACTCAAAATACAGGTTTCTAGATCGAAGTCACTACTTTTGTTAGGGATATTTCTAGCAATCAGGTAGGTAGCTCCTTTCTAGAACCATGAGTTTTGTTCTTCTTCATTCAGGCAAATTCGTCTTACTATTTTTTACAGATCTTGATGCAAGGAGTAATGGGTTGCACTGGGCGCGCCCTCTTCCAATTGAACGAAATTAGGTCAAATGTTGGGTCGAAATAGGTCAAAGGTCAAGATGTTATGCTAAATACCAAATTACGTCTTCCCTATTTGTAGGAAGTAAGTGGTTCCATTATCGCACCAGTGATAAATGAAATGACTACGACATCTGTTCCACCAACATTCAATAAAGTGAACAAGTTTACTAGATCATATCAGAATATTGTGGATGCATATGGCGTTGCAAACTATCAGGAAATCAATCCAAGTGATGACTGATTCTATTCAAGAAAACAAGAGAAACTTAGTGTAGATCGAAGTTTTAGATGAACAATTATTAAAAAAGGAAAATATGTTTGATCACTATTATATTTAAATTTTATGAACAATTAAAACTTCTTGCTGAAATCTTTTTCGATATTTATTTCCTGTTTTTATATATTTTTCAGCAAATGAAAAGCAGTATTTTTAGCTCCATGGACTATAATAACATTTCCATTCATCTTTGCGATAATGTTTGGGGATGCAGGTCATGGACTGATTATGTTTTTCCTTGCATTAATACTAATAATTTATGAAAAACGTTTCATAGCTGCAAAAATCAAAGATGAGGTCAATTCGCAAATGTTCTTTATGTTTATAGTAAGAGCAATTTAGCAAACTATTTTATTAATTAATATATGCATCTATTAATAAGCGCAATATTTTTAAGACAAATAAATATGAGTTGCAAGGTGCTATGTTTGCATTTCTGTTATCTGTTCTATCGTCACCTGCAGAAAATCAGCTAAAAACCGAAATAGATTTTGTGCATTGGAAAACTGAATTACGGGTTGGTTTTAGATTTTTAACATATTCTTTGGTGGACGTTACGTAATTCTTCTGATGGGTTTGTTTTCCGTATATACAGGCTTTGTATACAACGATTTTTATTCCCAATCTCTCAATATTTTTGGAAGCAGCTGGAAAAACCCTTACAAGTCAGGAACCTTCTCTGTTTGTATTGATTAATAAATTTTTCAATGAAATAAATGAAAATTTTGGTATGCTTGAATTTATACGTTTGCTTTAAATTTTAAAACGTTTTTTGACATTTGTGCACAATTCTTTAGTGAAATCATTTATTAAAAGCAAAATATTTCCAGCCAAAAAGATCTCAATGGATCAGGTGACCTTACATTACCACCGGGATATGCTTTCGAACACGAAAAGGTTTCTGCGAAGTTTATGTACAGTAAAAAATTCTTTTTGAAGTGCAATATTACTTTTAAGGACAGCTTTATTATGCATGTAAACAAGTATGCTGTTGACAATGTTTCGACAGAATTCTAGGGACCCTATCCATTTGGTGTTGATCCAGTCTGGTCAATTTCTGTTAATAAATTGAATTATTTGAATCCCCTCAAGATGAAAATGTCCGTGATTGTTGGCATTTCTCAAATGACATTTGGCCTAGCACTTGCATTGCTCAATCACATGTACGCAAGTTTTTTAAGGACTGTGCATTTTGTTTTGCATAAGTCCAATTCTGCATTCTTACTAGTTCTAAGAAGTTATCAATCGTTGTTTATTTAAGTAATTCAAAGCGCGCAAGAAAGTAATCAAATCAGTTGCTTTTGATGTAATGATTGCTTAATACTTTTGTCATAATAATATAAGTATTAAGCATTATGTTATAATTTGCAAATAAATAAAAGCAAAAGCAAACAACAAACATTTGCATAAAATTGAAATACATTGCAGCTATTTCAAATCAAAAGTGGATATTCTTTTCGTCTGGATCCCTCAACTGCTCTTCCTCGCTTCTATCTTTGTTTACCTCTGCATACAGGTCTAATTTCGTTTGCATTCAAGACAAAACATGAGAGTGACAAGTAAATTTCATTTTCTGATTTGCTCTTGTAATTATTGTATATTATGCAAGAGATAGCATAGCATTATTACTTTTCAAGCCATTAAAAAAATATCGGACACACAGCTTGCACAGTCAAATAAAATGCTCAAAATTTGTCGTTTATCCCTTACTGAAGACAGTTGCGATTTCAGATTATCACCAAATGGATAATGTACTATGTATGGCCCCAGTTTATCTTCGGCTACTTTTATCCTTCTTCAAACTGTGCTCCTACTCTTCTAATAGGTCTCATTAATATGTTTATGATGAAAAGCAGACAGGCGGGTTTTGTTGATGCAAGCGTGGGAAACTGTTCTGAATACCTGCAAGCTATCAAAAATCAAGACTGTACTACTTCAAGAATTTCTGTTGAGTGCTCTAATGCAGTCAAAAACTGCCAGCCGTATGCTGAATGTGCATTGAATCAGTGGTATCCAAACCAGGTACGGTTTAGAAAATTAAGAATTGAGGGAATTAGTGAAATTTGCAGCTAAACTGACTACACACCTAAGTAGACTACAAATGCTAATTTTTATTAGATTGCTTAAAAATTGTACATTGTTTATATCCATGTGCAGTATTCCCAAAGATTTGGTGCTAATAAAGGTTAATTTTTATTTTTGTCATTAATTAAGAGATAAATTTTCATTCTAATAAATTTTTACAGTATCCACAAAATGGGTTTAATTAAAGACTTCTCAGAGTATAAAAATTTCTGACATTGCAAATGTCAGCCATTTGTTTTAATGAATCCAAAGAAGTGATAATATAAATAACACTTTTATTAAATCATAAATAATTTTATTCTGTAAAATCTGCTATAGCTAGCAGTTATATGTGAAATAGTATGAATGGTATATTGCAAATATTAGATGAAAATATACATTGCAATATTAGACTAAACTGAATGACATCTTCGTTCAAATGTATTATTGGAAATAGTTCATAAAAAAGTTCAAACGGAAATATTCAACAAAAAAAA